GAGCCGCTCCGCCGGCTGGCTTCAACCCCCATCCCTCTTGGGGACACCCCTGGGGACACAGGCAGTTGCTTCCACTGCCCACCTGCCCCCACGTGGACATAGGCTCCCTCAAAATATTTTCCCCACGTGGTATCAGCAAACAGGTGACAGCCGCAAATTGGAAAAGAGAAGAGAGGGGAAAACTTGTAAAATTAATTCTTGTGTATCTTTTAGCCTATTCTGCCAAATCTTATTCCTGGGAGCATGAGAACGTGGACTGGGTTTTACAAAGCTGGGGCTTACAGCAGTGGCACAAGGCAAACCCATCTCAGATCATCACGGGCTTCTCTCTTTGTTCCTGCATCCTCTCCCGGCGTCTCCTCTTCCCTCGCTCCTCTCCCCCTGCCCCAAACTTCTCTGTTTGCTTTCTTTGTGGTATTTTCATTTAGGCGCCTTTTGGATTCCTCAGCGATGACATAACCATCGCTCTTTGGCTATGGTTTTATATTTACCCCGCTAGTTTTTGTGCGCTGGAATTTCATTTAATCTGCATTAGGTATGCTTATCCCTCAGCAGGCCGACAGCGAAGGTTAAAACTCAGGCCAGCACCGGTGCCCAGCATTACACCAAGGTGCAGAAGGTTGAGTGGGAGCTCTTGGTTTAAATCTGACTATTTTGGGAGGGCTCCGGCAGCGGAGGAGAAATCCAGATCACCTCACGTAAGGTTGTATCTGCAGAGGAGAGAAACGTGTCTGAGATGAGCGAAAGGCTGTTTGTTTCCAGGGCGATAATATCCCAAAGGCTTTAAAATACAAAGCGATCGCGGGTTTTAAACCAGAGGAGGACAGAGCAGGAGTACTGATGCTGAGAGACCCCAGCGCCCTCTCTGCGCAGAGCTGGGCTGGGTGCTGAGCAACTGGGATGAACGGGACAGCCTGGGGAGGAGGAGGAGAAGGAGGAGGAGGAAATAACATGCTCTCCTTCACGTCATTATTATTAGTGTTTTATTCACTGAAAGGTTCCCCCAAGTGTCGCTGTTCGCCCGGGGGCTGCGGGAGGGTCGTGCCGGCCAAAGCCCCTCTCGGCCCCAGCTGATGAGCCGCAGTTAGCGTGGGGGTCTCCTCGCGCCGGCAGGAGGAGGGTGCTCGCCTCCCGCTCGGGTGGGTCGTGCCGGAGGTGTCCGTCAGCCCTGCAGCCTGTCCGTCTCCTCCCCGCCGCGGCGGCACTGGGTGGAAATGGGTCCGTTGCCCCTTCCCGGCCGTCCCAGCGTGTGCAGCCCACTGCAGCGCTCCCTCGTCCCCTCCTGCCGCCGGGGGCTTCCCTGTGGCCCCCCACGGTGCACGCAGGTCTCCGTGCAGCAATTTCACACCCTGCTTAGGAGAGAGATTAACAAAAGGTTCAGAAAGGAGAGGAAGAACCTTCTGGAAAGTGGGGTTGAGCCTTGTTGAAAACAGGAGGAAGGCAAGCAGCCTGGGGACAGCAGCAAGCATTTTCAAATCTGGATGTTCAGGCATGTAAATACCTGCTGAGGCGTGGAAGTAAATCCCCTTTTTAGTGGCCAAACGATGGTTTCAAAACTGTGAGCTGTATGTTTGGTGCCAAGCGTCACCCCGGGGAAAGCGGGCTGTCCTGCCGTCCCCCCCGCGCTGCCGCAGCCAGAAGTCGCCGTCGTTCGGGTGTTGCTTGGACTCGAGTCGCGCAGAGCTGCGGAAATGGTGAGAAACCAGAAGTCGAAACCCCAGAAGAAATTTGTGAAGCCAGGCAAAGTTTTGCAAACCCTGCGCGGTAGTTTTCGGAGTCCATAAAACCAAGTCACTTCAGCCTCTGGATTAGTTTTAATTTGTTTTTAAAAGTTCTGGATTTTTTCTACACCACTGCTCGCCGCCTGCCCCGTCCCCCCTGTGGGTGGGGCCCGCAGGGCTGGTTTTGCAGTTCGTTGGCGGTGGCCAGGTAAGGAGCTGACATATCCAGCTCTGACAGGCTGCAGAAAAGCCGGGGACTTGGGGGGAAGGTATTTACCATCCCTTTGTGCAGCTCCTGACAGGTTCCTCTTTGCACCTCATCACCGCTTGACATACGACGCCTTCCTCCGCTCGGGGTTTCCTGCGAAACTTTCCACCTTGGCTGTAGCCGCAGGGTTTGCTGTGACGATCCGGAGCATGGGAGAGCCAGGCCCTTGGCACGGCTGGCGCGGGGCGGCGCGGTGGGGGAGCCGCCGGCACAGCCCTGGAGCAGGAACGGGAAGAGCCGCGGTGCTGCTCCACCTCTGAATTGCAATTTATTAGTGGACTGCTTCTTAATTACCATTCCAGTAGCGCCTTAATTATAGGTAACGTAACATGGCATTATTTTCCAGGAAACAATTTTCGTGACGTTAATTTTATTATCTAAATATAATATGCCTTTTCACTTGTTTTCTAAATCCCCTCTTTGTTTTGTATGTCTCGCCATCCCAAGGGTGCTGTAGCTCTGAATTGAAGCCCTTCATTTAGTTCTGGCAGGGACATAATCCATCCAGAAAAATGTCTGCCTTGCTTCTTCCCGTCTGCAGAAGGGGAAAAACTCCCGTGAACCAGCAGCAGCGTGCGGAAATCTGTGCGACCCTTTTCAGTTGTTTCTCAGCAGCCACCTCGGACGGGGCTCCCTTGGCTCCATCGCCCAGCTGAGGATTTGTGTAGCAAAGTGGGCTGGGGTCGGCTCCCCAAAGATATCACGGTCAGGAGCTGATGTTCAGGTGAGGTGGGTCACTCCAGACCGCCTGTCTCCATCGCAGCAAATGAAACCAAGGTCCGAGCCAACTTCGTGCACGTGTCCGTTTTCGAGAGGAGCCTCTGCTAATTGGAAAGAACGGCACGACGCGCCCGTTGCGTTTGGAGATGCCCCCAAGCTGCGAGGACAGCAGAAGACAAGGTCCAAAAGCCCAGTGATCCTGCAGGGCTTGGTCCGAGCAGGCAGGGGAGGTGTGTGTGGAGCTGCCCGTGGGCAGGACCCGTCACCTGCCCCGGGACGGGATGGAGCAGAGCATCGTGCTCTTGGGCTGCGTGTGCATCACGAGATGAGGAGGGAAAAGGCGTTGTGAAAAGGCAAACACCGAACCAGGAGAGGCGAGGAGGCGTTCGGCGTGCGTGGTGTCACCCTCCCACTACCCTCAGCCGAGCGCCCACCTCGAGAAGGATGCAGCCGAGTGGCAAGGGTGCAGAAGAGGGACCCAGAGAAAAAGCAGAGGGGCAGAAACCTCCTCCCACGGCAGCAGAGCGAACATGGGCATTCCCAGACGGTTTGGAATAGGTGAAGACCTACCGCCAAGGCGAAAGCAGCGATCTGTTTTCCATGTCCCTGTGGAGAAGGGAGGAAATAATGGAAGAAATGGGAGAATATGATTCAATCTCAGGAAAATTCAGGTTGAGCGTTAGGAAAAACTTTCACCCCTTGACACTTTATTGTGTTAGTGCGAAGACATCCTGTTTTTACAGAAGGTGGAGACAAACTGTTAAAGCTTTGTCTGTCCTCCAGCTACTCATGGCAACAGTCCTGTAACTATTTGACTTCTCGTTTATGGTGGGCATTTGCAGAAGGAGCCCAGCCATCACAGCCCAGAACCGAGCTATGCTGTGCCGCTGGTACAAAAAGCATGAGAATTTTTGGCAGGCTGTGGGTGGATTCAGCATCGTTAATAAATAGCAACCAGAAAACAAAATTCTGCTCATAGTTTCGGGGCTTCAAGTTGGTCACTTTTCCTGGTAGCGGGATGTCTGGGACTTTACAAAAGCCAGTTGTTTATCGTACCAAAGATTTGTTCTTCACCGGTGGGCAGCAGTGGAAAGCCTTGAGTGCTCTGAATAAAGAAAAATCAAAGGGGAGGCATGAAGGTTATTTATTCTGTTCGGGGACTGCGTTTGGCCAACGTGAAGGGGCGCTCTTGGTGCTTACCGAGTAACAACTACTCAAACAATAACAAAGCTAATGCCATCTTCATATTGCTTTTTAAAGCCCAGTGTCTTGTGGCATTGTACCTTAAAGCTGCTCCGAAAGTCTCTGAATGTCAGGACTGGCACAGAAGCCGCTTGGGCTCGTGGCCCGTGTCGCTGTGTCCTCCAGGGCTCTGCAGCCTGTCAGCAGACCCGCTGCAGAGCAGCATTTGCGACGGGCTGAGAAGCTACGTGTGTTTTCCAGATAGGATGTGTAAGTTTATACATAAACTTCAGTTCAGCTGCCTGCCTAAGAGAAGAGAGACGCTTCGGCAACGGGATTGATGCTCTGAGGATCTCCCCTGGGTGGTCACAGGGAGTCGTGGTGGAGGCTTCGCATTATCGCACACGAACTGGAAGAGCTGAGAAAAAGTAACCCTATTTATAGAGAAGGCAGGTTAATATTTTTGTAAACTATTTTATTCAAGCCTCTGTTATCTCAGTCTTCCAGTCAGGAGGTGCTCACAGGAAGAAGCTGCATGGCAGCAGAATGGAGGAGGAGGTGTGTGTAACGTAATAAACCCCAAACCTCATACGCAGTGCACTGAGCACAGCCTTTTACGGTTCCTTTCTTCCCCCTGCTGAAAATACAGGCCTCCGTTCGCTTCCATTTTCCATTGCAGCATTCATACGTTTTGGTCCATGTTCAGCATGGAAGAATTTTATTTTCTTCTTTTAACTGTGATTACTTGTCTCCCTGCGAATATGAATACTTACA